GTAAATGATGGTGCAGAGTCCCCATACACAGAATCCAACTCATCTTTGATTTGCGTAGGCGTATTGCCTTTCAAAAACAAATATTTAATGACAGCTCGATACTCGATTTTGTCCATTTTCACAAAAACACTCACATCAACTTACTCAAACGACTGTTACATAACAACTGCGAGTCCAAAATGGCTGAAACTTCGGTGAGTAACTGTCAACAGATGAACAACGAAATTCACTAGCTTTTATTTACAAGTGCTGCTATCTTCACGTTGAGGTCGGAAACTTTTCAGACCACCCTCGTATTACTAGAACAATGGCACACAATGAAAAAGATGTAGATTCTCAAAACAGATATAGCGCGCGAATTCGGCTAAATCTTCATTGCCATGTTTCAAAACTTTCCTTTATTAAGTTAAGTATAATGATCTAGAGTGATCTGTTGACTAGTCTTTGTCTGACAATGCGCCAAAGTGAACTTTGCGAGCGATAGGTCCTACGTTTGCACATAAGACCAGCAAGGACTGAACAGTTTCATGATTTCTCGCACCTTTTGACACAATTTCGCCGCAATTTGAAGGACATTTTGTGACAATTTATAACCATTGATGAAACCTGAGTCTAACAGCTGAAGTAATTTTACGTGATTTATGTAGTTATTCATTCGTCGTCTGGACGCGAGCATGACAGAACGCAACAAGACCATAAGAGTATACCAACGTTACCGACTGACAAAAATACTAGTTCCCAGAATATTTCGATTCTAGACAAAGAACCTATATGTTTGGGATAAAAATGGAATCCTTAATTAAAATATCTTAGTGAGATAAACAATTCTGTCTACCATTACACTCCAAAAACAAAAGAATAATGAACACACTGAAATACTTCAAATATGTACTTTGACGCATTATCAAACTGATTAATCGACAAATTAGCTCTATACTGCCATATTTCATCTAACAAAGGAAAATTTTGAAATATGGTAATAAAGATTTAGCTATCTCTCTCTGTATTAAGCCGTGTACTTTTCAAACGCTCTTCATAGTCAAAACTTAAATTTAAGATCAGATTAAGTTTATCTTCAGAAGCTGTCTGGATCATTTCATTGGCAACAGGATATTTGAAGATAAACTTAAGGAGATTTTAAATATAAGATCGGACTATGAACAGCATAGCCTACCCTCACAGCACCGAACATTGCAGTAAGGTTATGGATAAAGCTTACACATTTTAATGAGCATATTACTGCAACCTGCCATTAACCTTACAAGATAATCTTACATTATAATATTGTCATAAAGTTAATATAATCTTTAATATTTCAGCAAACTTACGTTTAATTATTTCACTTTCTGTGTATCTTGAAAATACTACATAATTGAAATATAGTTTATTAATAATCACTTAATTGTATATACAACTTTTTTCATATATAAAAATTTTTTATTAAGAAAACAAATATAACTAAATTAAATTAAAATATTAATAATAAAATTAATTCTAGGTTGTATTCAATAGCTGCTTCAAATGCTTTAGTTTTATGTATATCTCTGACTTTTCTTTTACTATATGAAATATTTGGACTACATAGTTTATTTTTGTAGTTGTATTAAATAATATTATAAGAAAATTATAATGGCTGCGTATGGGAATAATAAAAAATGCTTAGTATCAGTTGAAGAAATAGCGCAGCAGCCAAGATGATAGACTAGGAACCTAAAGGTATCTGAGATCTCGAGTTCACGTCCAACTAGTACTGAGTAAATTTTCAGGTGTGAAAATAGTGAGAAATCAAATAAAAGAGCTAAATTTCATTTAAAATCAATATAAATTGACTAAACTGAATATAAATAATATTTCTTTATCAAAAATTTCTTATTAAAAATATTGAAAGGTTCTAGACATATATTATATTAACTTTAATATAATGTTCTGTATAAGGTTTCTGTAATGTTAATGGAATGAGCATGGACGAACATTTTCATGTTATTAGAAGGTTAGTGATAGGTTTATTAACCTCCGTGTAATGTTACCATCTTACAATTTAAGGTTGCTATAATAACCTTATGGCAATATTTATGTGCTGTGAGGCTAAGTGGGATATCCAAAATTATATCAATATTCTTTCTGATCTTCATTTTACATTTGGATTGAGCCAAACCAATATATTAACTTCTCATAAATAATTTAGTTACTTAATAAGATATTCAAAGTGTTTAAAAAATATTAGTTTTCATTGTTCTATTGGACACAATAGTTGGTATAAAAGTGATACTTCCTGTTTGATATTGTTGCGCCTGCGCTCTCGCACAGGATCGATATCGATTTGTATCGATACTCCCGGTGTAGATAGTCCGGATAGTGGGTGTTGCCCGTGACAACAGAGAGTGACAGTTGAGTTGCAAACTGGTTACCGAGCCGACAACCGGCCGTCTGATATCCTTCGAGAGCAAGTAATTATGAGGCTTATCCAACGAATTGTAAATAGTGGAATTAAACTAAAGTAATTTTATATGGTTTACGTAGTTATTTATTCGTCGCCTGGACGCGAATGCGGCAGAGCGCAATAATACCATAAGAGTATACCGACGTTACCGACTGACAAAAAAATGCGAGTTCCCATAATATTTCTGTCTCGATTCCAGACAGATAATCCAAGTTTGGGGTAAAAATTGAATCCTTAATTAAAATATCGTAGTGAGATAAGCAATTCTGGAGCACACTTAAATATTCTAATCAAAATCTGTAGTATCTATGAAAATCTTGAAAAAATATGCGACCATGTTCCGTCCACTTTATTCAGAAAAGGGTTTTGAATTTAGGTTGATTTTATTCTATAGTTTTTTGACGCATTGTTTAGGAATTCCAAGATAAATCGATGTGCCGTTCCAGAGAAAATAGCCCATTCAAAATTGCACTTTATTAGATGGCGCTACTTATTTTCACAAAATAAAAATGTTAATTTGCAATGTAATTTATTTCTTGATAAATCGCGTTTTATCTTACTGATGATTTCAAAGTGTAATCAACAAGCCAAATGGGCCAACTGTTTGAGAATCCATTAAAATTCATTAGACACTTTTGAGATCCAATTTAGTAATTTTTCCAAATACAACATCTAGAACTGTCGCTGCGACGCGCTGAAGATGATGTTGTCATTACAAATTGCTATAGTTTCACTTTTTATTTGTGGAAATAAGTAGCGCTATCTAGTTTAAATGGACCATTTTCTCTGGAACGATACGTCGATCCACTTTGGGAGTTACATATTCGTATAATCAGTGCACTAAAAACTATAAAATAAGACCCAGACTATAAAATAACAACTATCTATAACTATACAAGATATCCCAGACTCTCCTCAATTTTTGTGGGAATGGATCATGGAGGTAAGAAATAACAGAAGCGAAAATATTCCTCCTTTGGCCTATCTAAGCAGACGTAAGAAAGAAACAGTAAGCGCTATATTTTTGTGGTCTACCAAAGCGCGACAATAAAGTACAAAACGTCATATTGTGGCCAACCAATCACACGACATACTTACCCTCACTACATAAAAAGCTTTACACTCCCTCCTGTTATTTCTTACCTCCATGGGACGAATTGAGATAAACATAAAAGTCTAGTATCGTTTTGCAATATTCGTAATAAATCTCGAGATATTAATTAAAGAAGATTAGTGAATGATCACATGCAATATGGTAGATGAGCTACAGTGACGCCATCTGCCGTTGTATACTTATACATTAGGTCAAACTGAATAAAAAGTTTCACTATCATTTTGCGAACAACCACGTAAAATTTTGAGTTATTAATCAAGGAAAATTGGTGAATGATGACACGTAATATGGTAGATGAGCTATCATGGCAATGTGTGCTTTTATACTAAATCAAATTGAATAAAAAAGTCCTTTATCATTTTACACATAACTACGTGAATTTTTAGTTATTAATGAAAGAAAATTGTCGCATAATTTGCACGATAATGCACAAATTTTCTTTAATTCTAGGCACTTGGTCGTACTCTTTCTGTGCAGGCAGCGTCCCCGTATCATTTCGATAAACGCACAGTGCGTTTATTATTGAATTAAATAAAACACATACGTCTCATATCGTGGCGAGCGCGCGCAGTGGGCGATACTCCGTACATAAAAATTATGAAACAAAAACCTGACAAAACACACACACACACACACGCCGACGGCGAGACTTTTTGCTCGGCACGTGAGACGCCGCTAATTAACGTAATTCAGACTGCGTTTCGCGGCGGCGGGAACGCTCATTCGCCGCTACGGTTTTTTTTTCTCGTCCGGCCGTGTCGCCGTCTCGCGCTTCCACCTACGCTCGACACGATCGCTTACAAACAAGCCAATTTCGCGTAACGAGCGCAAAGAGCTGGAGATCACCTCGCACCTCGGGCAGAGACAAAGAGCCGTGCGTGTGTTTCTCGTACGTTGGCGTCTTTACGGCATCGCCGAGACGGCTTCATACCGAGCGACGGCTGATCGCAACCACGCGGTTGCCGATCTTAAATAATAACAGTAATAATAATAACAATCACACGAGAGAGAGGAACGACACGCTGGCATTGCACGCCTCGGCGGAGGGAAGCCAAGCCGAGTTCTGAAGTGAAGCGCGCAGCGAGAAATTCGCTCTCGGGCGAGAACGCGTCGGAGGTCGCGCACTGCATTTCCCCGTGTGCGCACGGTAAGTACACCGTGTATATGCCGTGCGTTACTGTATGGGCGGACGTAAAGCGGCGAATCGACTGATAAATAAAGGCACGACTTTCGTCAAAGAAGCTTGGGGATATACTCTCGGCGAGCGAGAGAGGAGGCGTTAAAGTTTTACGGCGAGGCCGGCCGGGAACATCTCGTCTCCCGTCTCGTCTCGTCCACCAATTTCCACGTCGACCGGACCTCGCCTCGGCTCGACTCGTGCGAAAGTCGCGCCGAGTGAAAATCGTCTCTCCCCCCCCTCCCCCACCTCCTGCCTTACAATATTGCCGATCAAAATGTTTAGCGTGTACGGCTGCGGCCTGCACTCACGGCGCGATCCGGTCGCGCCGCGTGGCGTATGCACGTTTGTCCGTAAAACCAAACTCGTTTACGCCGTCGCGCTAACGCGACACACACACCGCGCCAATCCCGTCAGCGTATTATCGTAAATTTGTCCCGCTCGTCTCTTTCTCCCGCGGCATGCACGTTGCGCTCTCGAGATCACGATTCATCTACACGGGGAGAATATTGTAGTAAAAATTACAATACGATTTCACTACTCCGGGAATAGACTGGCACTATGATGAAAATTATAATAAGACATAGTAAAAGTGACCATGAACATAGTAAAATTTACCACAAATCTAGTAAAAAATTATCATGTTTGTGGTTACCTTTACTACGTTTTATTATAATTTTCGTAATAGTGCCAGTCTATTCACTAATAAAATTGTATTGTAATGTTTACTACAATATTCTCTCCGTATACTTGCATATATTTCAATGACGAATTTCTTCATCCGTGTCAGTCGTACATGCAGAATAAAAGAACATTTTTGTTCTGAGAATATCTTTATTTTTGACATGTAAATCTTAAAATGGGACTACACAGCGTTAAATGAAGATAAGCTACTCGCATGAATATATTTCGTATAATTCAATCAAGAAAAATATGTACAAAAATATATACAATAAAAAATGTATAAAATATATAAAAATATATACAAAAATAATTTCCATGAATGGAAAACACAAAATATCAGATTAAGAATATGATACTTTAAAATGTCGGGTGAAAATATCATTATCATCAAAATAAACATACTTCTTGTGGGATTATAATATACAAGTAAAATTATAACATCGTTAAAATTCAAGGCTTTAAAGTACTTCTATCGTTGCTATATATGAAACGATGTACTGTTAATATATTGTTAATTTGAAATGTTATTTTTAAATAAATGCTATGATACATATAAGTTTGATATTTGTTACTATAATCACATAGAAAAACAATTATTATAAATTATGTGGTCAAGAAAAACATTTTTTTATTATATTCTACTATAATTTTAGCGATAATAATCTTACATGCATATTACTATTTTCGCGTTAGAAGAACCGAAAAATATGATTGGAGCCAAAGAAAACTATAATTTTAGTTATATCAACCTTTTTTTCTCTCTGAGAATAATTTTTTTCTGCCCCAGATACAACAGAATGTCAATCTGGCGTCATTCTGATTAAATATTGACCAAATTTACGTCATTTTTTGGTCAAAATAACATTATATTGACATTATTTTGACTATCTGTTCTACCTAGGGTGTAGTCATAGTGATTGCACATTTGACGCTAAAGAAATACAGATGACGATTTCTCCACTCTTCTTTTTTCCCTTTATTTTACGGTAACGCTGACGTATAGAAGTCGAAATTGCGATACACGTATGGACGTGTATGCGGAATTAAATGCACGCGAAGAACACGGAGCTTTGGCGCCTTTGAAGCGAGCATCACGCATTATTCGAGAACACCTACATTCGGCTGTATAATGTATGCGCGATTGTTCGAGAGATAATTCGATACCGGACGTGATGTGTAATGAAATAAGATACTTTGACGTTACATCCGTTACATGCGCGTGCGCTCGTTCGCTCGCTCGCTCGCTCGTGCGCGCGCGCTCGCGCACGCGTAGAGGAGACTTTTTTCAGTCGGTCCGGATACTCTCTCGTGGGTCGAAATTGACTTCGCCGTCGCGTTAATCGTGCCTCGATCTATCGAGTACTCTCCCTTGTTCCGGACTCGAATCTATCGGACGGATCGACAGGACGCGAGAAGAGGCCGAGCACGAGAAATCGCCGCTCGTAAATCACCGAGTCACCCTGTGTGTATATTCGCTGCACGAGCAGACTCCGCCGCGCGGCGTCACTTATTTTTTTTTCTCTTTCCCGCGCACACATGTGTTACTCGCGTGCGACGAAAATAAAAAAACAAGAGAGACTCGGCCGGAAACGCGTATACTTTTTTATCACGGCGATATTTCAACCTAGAGATATTTTCGACCGGATATTTAGTACGCTCGTAAGTAAATTACAATTATTCTATTATTGATATCAAATTATTAATAAGTTAACATTATTATTGTGATATACATTGGTAATAGAATAATTTTAATATTACGTTCTAGTTAAATATATTACAATTTATAAACATCTCTCTCTCTCTCTCTCTCTCTCTCTCTCTCTCTCTCTCTCTCTCTCTCTCTATCTATCTATCTATCTCTCGATAAACTGTCATAATTATCAGACAGAGGACAGTCGATGATAGAAACTTTAAAAACTTTTAACTTTTTTTTAATTGTATTCATGAGGGGCTAACATATTGATTATATTAATCGTGTATTAAATTTGCATCATACAATTATATAAATTTTTGTTTACAT